TGAAAATATTTAAATGCATAAATAACTTTTTTTAACTAATAGTATTTTTAAAGGTGAAATATAATTTATAATACTTGCAATAAACAAGAAACATTATTTTAAAGGAGAGTTATAAAATTTATGTGCTTAAGATTTGCCTAAAGACATTTCTCCAACCCTCAGAATCATTCCTGGAAACAATAAATATTTCCAATCTAATCCACCATTCCTCTTTTCTTTGCTCAGTTACTGTTCCCTTAAGGACAGTTTAGCAGAAAAAAAAAAATGGTTTTTAAAACAAACATTAACAGTAGAGAGAAAGTAGAAAGGAAATTCTTCGTGTACTGGCTCAGGATAAGGTTCTTACATGTCCCTTAAAATGAAAATCTTCATGAAAGAAGGGAAGAAGGCAGAAACGGAAATCGGTCTTTTCCCCTTACATTATCCTATTCTCCTTATTCCTCACTTCCCATCTCTCTCTAACACACACAATAAATACACTGATGTGGTCTGCGTTGCATTTTACCTCCTTAAGCATTTGAAAATTGGCCCCATTTTTTGGCTAATATAATGTTATCTTTGAATTACACACTGAATTAGCAGATGTCCACTAGGTGGCTAATCAGAAACTACTAGTGAAGTACTGCCACATTTAGATACCTTACATACAAACTGCAATTAAAGACCAAAAATAATTTTTTAAAAATTTCACTCAGCATCTCATAGAAATTAACAAAGGATAAACCATTAAGACAAACAATATTAAGTCCACAAATTATGAATTTGGAATGTGAAGCAGCCCCTCTCCACTATAGCATCATTTTATTTCAGTTTAAAAAAAAAAATTTAAACACTCAAAGCACTTTGAACAAAAAACCTTCTCTTTGTCTTTTCTTCTCTTGAGGCACTGATTTCATTGTATACTGCGTATTCTTTTCTTAAACCCAAGATGAATGACCAAGTCCTTGGGAAAAGTAAATGTGTTTTACTGTTTCCTTGGTGTCTAACACATAACCTCTTTCATAAATGTTTGAAATTGTGACATAACATAATATTTTTAAGGACATAAACTCCCTGAATCAGTATCCTACACAATCTGTACAACTACCAAAAGTTTGTGGGGATTTAATAACTTCTATTATAAGTGCTCATTTTCGAAGTCCATCTGAGGCAGTGACTTACTCAGCAAATTTTATATTTGGGGAGAATTACTTTTTCTCTTTTCCCTACTCATTGGTTTAACCTAAAAACCCCAAGCTCCCCAAAGATATTCAACAACGGGTTCATATAGTAGGGTCTATACCCGTGTGTGACATCTAGCAATTGAAAGAACTAGGGGAAAGAACTGAAAAAAGGGAAAGAATTTGTAGAAGGTGAACGGTGCTGACACTTCTATCGCACTTGGTATTTTCACACACTTGTCTCATCTAATCCTCGAAACCTACGAAGTATGTATTGACACTTTCCCACTTCGACGTTCAAGAAACACACAGAGGCTCAAAAATTAGATTTGTCTCCAGATCATAATGAGTCAGTGTCAGGGCCAACTGTGGAAACCCGGCCTCCCAGTTGTCATTCCGGGTAAGAAAGTGACGCTTCCAGACAGAAGCAAAGACGGACGGACACAATCGCAGTCCCTGAGCCCTGCGGGAGGGCGCGCCCTGTCGGCTCGCCGCCGGACCAGGGCCTCCAAGCGCGGGGACGTCCCCTGGGCGTCCCTGACCTCCCCGCCGGGCCGGCACCTACGTGCTTGGAGGTGAGCGCGGTGATGCCGCGGACGAGGCCGCCCAGTCGTGAAGAGAAAGACGCCTTGCCGGCCGCGGGCCCACCAAGCCCCTGGTTCTGCAGGAAGAGTCCCGGCAGGGCCGTCAGCGTCTTCTCCACTATGTCGCTCATCGCCGCCACCGCCGCCGTCCGCGCTCCGGTCACCGCCCGGCTTCATGCCCGGCCCCTGCCCCGCCGCCTGCCCGGCCTCCGTAGGCACTTCCTGTTTGTTTGAAGAAGAAATCTTTATTTGCATCCCGCGTGGACAAGCACAGTGTAGTTCTCGAGAGGCCGCCGGAGGGCGCGAGAGTCCGCGCCGTGGAAAAGCCACTCCCCAGGCTTGCGCGCTAGGCTGACGTCCTGCGGAGGAATAGAGAGACCGAACATTAGCGGTTTCGATGGCAACCCCGGGATCCCGAGCATCTCTGGGTCCTCCCGAGTTAGCCGCTCTGGCCCGTCCTTCTTACACTTGGTCCTCCAAGCCGCCTCCGCGCTGCCCAAGACAGCATCCAGAGGTACGCATTCCTGGCCCCCACGCGGCCACCATTCACTGAGATCCCAATCTGTCTGCCTCCTTCCACCGAACTCCGAGGAACTGGATGACCCGGATCCTCGGCGCCACGCGCGGCCCTGGCCCACGCGGTGCTGTGGACCCTGGTGGTCTTGAATGACAGCGCGGCTGTCCAGCGGAACCCACCCTGCCGGGTTCAAAGCCCGCCACGTAGTGGGGACTCGTGGTTCCTGTCGCATCTCCTCCACCCCACTTCTCCTGGGATTCGGGAAATAGCCAGGAAAGGCAAGAGGTCGCGCGGCTCTCCCCCTACCAATTCCTACTCAGCCGGTCTCAGTTTAAAGGTCACTTTCCAGGAGCGGACTTCCCTGGCCCGGCAGACAAGGATAAGTCTCCCTGTTTTATACTCTCAAAACGCTCCGTTATTTTCCACTTTAGAACTGATCACAGCTGCCATTACATAAATATTTACCTCCCCATAGAGAGGATATCTATTGCCGTTACCAGCGTTTCTACCTAGAACAATCTAGTATAGTGGTTCTCAAAATGTGGTCTGGTGACTTCTGTCTGAGATTCCCCGAGATCCTTCTGGAGCGGGGGGAGGAACCACGAAGTCAAAACTATATTCATTATATTTAAATGTCATTTGTTGTTATCACTCTCATCCTCTCCGGAGTGTAGAGAAAAGTTTTCAAGACAGTGATGATTTACAGTCCCTCTGTTGGCTGTTGAAATGTGTGCTTGAATACTCTTTGTTTGCCACAATCATCTAAGGTCGAGGGTATAAATATGTGCCTTTTCGGGGATTAACTCGGTTTGTCTTTAGTACTTCTAGTGTGTTTTTACAAGCTATCTTCACTTATACCTAATCTCTGTAACCTCATTAATCTTCCAACATATGTTTTTTTGAAATCCCTAAATTGCCCTTGTACCTATGCAGAAACAAAAGAAAAACGTGTTTTGTTGACTTGTTTTGCAAAAATATTTTTTAATTTATTGATATTTTTCTAAACATTTAAATTTTATCTGTTATTTTTAGAACTTAATCATTTATTCTTTAATTGGCTTACAAAAAAGAGATTAGAAGTCTTGCTTTCTCAACACTCCCACATCAAAAGATGCTGAAAAAGGTATGGACATCAATATCAGAGGATTCCGATCGACTCAGGTAAAGGGGAGAATCTGGATAAAACTATAAATAAGAAAGTATAACAAAAGCTTATTTCTTTTCAGTGGCTTTAGGGATGTTAATAATTTATCTTGTCTTATTCAACAGAACATTTCAACTACAATTTTTATGGTGCCAGTTAAGTTGAGGCATTATTTTGACATCAATCATTCGGTTTAAAGGAAAAGGAATTGAAGATTTTAAACATGATAAGCTCTTCAAAAGACAAAGCTTTCTTATTATCACTTTTCAAATTAGAAATGAAAAACCCACTAAAGCATCTTATAGGTTAAATTATTGTATTGCACTGGCTAGGGAAGGACATACAATAACTGAGAGACTAATAAAGCCTATAAATTACCGACTGAATGCCTGCTAGGTGAAAAATCAAAGAAATCATGGCAGTGCTACTTTCCAAAGATGCCATAACTCACCAAATTAGAAATTTTGTTGCAAACATAAAGACTGAGTTAACATCTGCAGCAGTTATACTGCCTCTAAGATGGACAAAAATTATATAATTATAGATGTAGCGAGACGTTGCTTTACTTGCATTTATTCAGTGTCAGCACCAACTAATACGTAAGAAGATCTTTCATATAAATGCTTGGCAGTATACACAAGGTGTGCTGAAATAAAGTATTGAACAATTTTTTTTAATCTCAGAGTTTACCTTGGAACAACTGTGGTATTTGCACTAATGGTATAAAAACAATACTGGGCAAAACTTCTGACACCTTGACGCAAATCAAGGCAGAGGCTCCAAACTGCAATCTTCACTACCACACACTCACATTAAAAAACAAAACAAAACAAAACAAAACAAAAAAACAGTTTCACCTAAGAATATCTTTAATGAAGCAGTAAGAATTATTAGTTTTATTAAATCTCAACTCTTGGGTACATTTCTTTTAAAATGGTGTGTGACAAAATGGGAAGCGAAGTACTCATAAAGCAAATCTGATGCACAACCAACATTTTTCAAAGAAAAGCACTTGTGTAATTGTTTAACTTGAAAGCTGAATCTGCCACTTTTCCTGGAACACAATTTTCAGTTGAAATAATGATTAACAGTGGTTTTCTTGAAAATGAACAGTGAGTCTATCACTTCTGGAAAAGCAACTGACAAATATGTTATTAGTGATAAAATTCAAGCTTTCGAATGAAAATTAGAATTTTGAAAAATGTTTTCAATAATTTTCTAATATGTAAGAACTGCTCTGATAAGATCGGTGGCGATATTAATGAATGTTATTTTTTGATATTGTGTAATGAAATGTGTCAACATGTGTAAGATCTATGTAACTCAGTGAACCAATATTTTCCAAATGATCAATGAGTGATATTGTACAATTATGTGTTAAAGATCCATTTAAAGTGCATATATACCAGTTATTTTAATATAATTTATTTTAAAAAGTTCACTGATATGTTTTCAAATTCTGCATTGCAATAAACCTTTAAGAAACTACTTCTTGTTGAATCTCGGTGTTGTATCAAAGAAGAATAGCCACAATTATTTGAAAAGGCTGTTAAAATATTCTTTTTCCTGAACTACATATCTGTTTGAGACTAGGTTTCCTTCATAAATTTCAAACAAAATAACAACCCTGTGGTAGGCTGATAATGGCTCTCAAGGATAAATCCACATCCTAATCCTTAAGATTTGTGAATGTTACCTTATAGTAAAACTTGTGCAGATGTGATTAAGGATCTTGAGATTATCCTGGATTATCCTAGTGAGCTCTAAATGCCATCACAAAGTCCGTGCAAGAGAGAAGCAGAGGGAGATAGCCACCACACACGAGAGAAGTCGAGGTGAATATAAAGGCAGAGATTGGAACGATGCAGCCACAAACGATGCCAGCAGCCACCAGAAGCTAAGAGGCAAGGAACCAATTTTCCTCTAGAGCCTCCAGAGGGAGCACTTCCCTGTCCACACATTGATTTCTGCCCAGTGAAACTGATATTGAACTCTGGCCCCCAGAACTATGAGAGAATACATTTCTGTTGTTTTGCCCCACGAAGTTTGTGGTGATTTCTTACAGCAGCCCCAGGAAACTAATACAAACCCCAAAGCAAAAGGTTAAATGCAAAACCAGGCGTGAGAATCCAGCTATCTTATATTAAACCCAACAGAGATTTGCAGAATGGTAAAACAATGCTACTCCTCTCACTAATTTTTTAAAACTATATAACTATTTTTAACCTTTTTAAAGTGTTGTTAACATGTAATAGGTTTATTGTTGCTTTTTAAAAATCAATTAATAGCTGAAAAATTTCTCAGTTTTACTTTTTAATTTAGTGAATATCTATAGATAAAACCCACATAAACAAAAGCTTTTGGAGGTCCTCAATAATTTTTAAGTATATGGAAGGGTCCTGAGATCACAAAATTTGAAAACTGCTTATCTTATCTAATACATAGTAGATACTCCATTAATAGTTGCAGTAATCATATTTATCCTGCAGAGTCACATCAGTTGATATGAGTATGGGTAAGTGAACAGCAAGAGTTTAGGGGTAAGGTGAATGGTTGCAAGAGAAGACAGAAGACTTCTTAGAAGAGAACACATTAGAAAAAAAGACAGAATTATCTCCAACTGACTAGATTATGAAGAAGTTGCTGGAGCAACTTCCAGAGCTTCCCTGTGACCCAGACACAAAGATCATTGAATTCCTACCAGTTCTTACCTTTCCTCCTCAAGTTTCCACCTTGCAAAGTTAAAAATTGAAAATAGAGCCAAGAAACAAATGTCAAAAGCCCAGACGTGAAATTCTTGGTAGGAAAAGCTATAGAATTATAAAGCGGGACCTGCTAAGATTTAGAATTATACAGGATGCGGAACTGGAAGAAAATTTGGAGGTCATCAGCCCAACTAATCACCTAATTTTGTAGAAAAGGATACTGATACTTAGACTAGGAAGCCACTTGACCAAGGTCACAGTTAGCTATAAAACTGAAATTGCAGCCCTAAGTCTAGACTTTGAGCCTGGAGCGTTTTCCCCATACTTTGATGGTATTGACAACGGAAAGGTTGCCTGTGCCTTCCTGTTCTGAGACTCTGGCTCCAAGTCCTGCCCTGAAATGAAGGGTATATGGATGTTCTCTGTTAAGCTTATAATTTTGGACTGTCCATTTTTTTCTATAAATATAGATTCTTCTTTCTCTTTTTCTCATCTTTACTTCTGTCTCAGGTAATTTCACTCAGAATGACATGCTATTATAGGGATCGAACCTATTAAATTAAACCCTCCAGAACTGGATTTTCTCTATCTCTTCTTCTAGTCAGGGAGGAAGTGACTCAGTACATGAGTAAGGTACATGTACCTTAAGAAAATGCAGTGGTCCTAGGACAGTAAGGAGACAAACTAGTTTATTCCCCATAAGAATATCAGCAGCCCCACCACAAACATTCCCAGCTGGGCTGTCTCACTTAAAAATACATACAAATGTATGAAAGGGCAATAAAAGCTTTTCCTTCAGTGCATTTCCTAAGATTTCTTTTTTAAAAACTTTTATTTTGAATAGATGTTAAATTCACTTTATTCAAAAT